GGTAAGCCCCCCTCATTTATTCATCTATACAGGTCTGAAATACTCTTTTGTCTTACTGTTCGTTGCAAGCTCCTTAATTTTGTCTTTCAGATATCCCACCGTTTTATTTCTGAAATGCCTGCTAGCTTCATGTTATATTTTTCAGATTATTTCCATGTACTCTGCTTGGATCCTGCAATCAATGTAATTTAGCTTTATTTCTTTGATCTATTTTGAGCATCCTTTGTCTAACCATGTCTTATGCTTCTTCATTTCATAATGACCTAAACTTTCAATGCCTGAAATTTTTATATCGAATCAAATATTTTCCAATTTTCTATTAGTATCCACCTCAGCATCTAAGCTTTCCAGAAGGCTGAGCCATAGCTCAAGCGGTTAGTCACTGGCTTCCCACCACGGCGGCCCGGGTTCGATCCCGGGGTCTGGTCAAGTGGGATTTGTGGTGGACAAAGCGGCGCCGTGAGAGGTTTTCTCCAAGCACTTCGGTTTCCCCTGCCAATATTCATTCCACCAATTGCTCCACAATCATCCTCACCTATCATCTGGGGCTGATACAATAGGGCAGAAGTAGCCGCAGTGCAAGGGACTTAGTCCCACCCCACTAGCATTAAAAAAAGTTTTCCAGTGCTGCAAACCAATTTGAGATTTCAACACTTTACTGCTCTTTACCCTCTGCCTCGTTTAATTTCTTAAGATTGAGCCTGTCCATATGATATCTGTGTGTTGTTTGTTTACTCACTGCCAGTTTCTCCCTAATTTCACTACCAGGCAGTGGTCAGTATCACAATCTGCTGCCCTGAATGATCAGACATCAATTACACTTTAATATTGTCACCTATATACCAAAAGATGGTCAATTTACTACGAGTCTTTCCATTAGGAGATGTCCAAGAACATTTATGAATGTTGCGATGTGTGAACACTGTACTTTTGACAGTCAGATTTTTGGATGGGGCAAAGTCTACTCTTCTGACTCCATTATCATTATTAATTTCGTGTAAAGTTTCATTCCAGATCGTTGGTTTGAAAATTCCTTCTCTACCTAATTTGACACTGAAATCGTCTAACAAAATTTTCGTATGGTATTAGGGAATTTATCGAATGCATGTGCTAGTTCTTCATAGAACCGGTCCTTCATATCATCAATTTTATCTATTGGTTGGGGCATGAACATTCAGAACAATGATATTACATCAGCGACTTCTTAGTATTATGTATGACATCACTAACAAACTCTACCATCTTAGCTGCTGATACAGCTGCTGTATATTCGCCTGCTGGTTCGGTGCCACCTCCATCCCATCTGATCTGTACTCCCGCTAAATCTAACTTATATTTTGAGATTTCTTCCACCACTGCCCTGAGCGAACCTGCCCTATACAAAATTCTAACATTCCAGGTACCAACTCTCATATCCATTTTCTTTAGCTTAGGTCGTTTATCCAAGGAATCCGTCCACGTCCGAGGCATCTTGTGATCTTTCATAACAAGCTTATTTTTTAAGATAAGGAGTTAGCCCCATGTACAACTCCCAAACTGCAGGGCCACCCCTTGTTGGCTGTCCGTGACTGCTTATTCAATACATTCACAGCTACCCTCCATATCCGGAGGCCATATCCACAGCTTGATGCGTCGTGACATGGGACCCACCTAACATGGACTCGTTATAATTAAGTCATTATAATGTATCGAAGTGCCGGTCACGGTAGCCGAGCGGTCTAAGGCACGTACTGTCTTCGCTCGCTTGGAAACCGGAATCGTGGGTTCGAATCCCATTCAGGACATGGATGTTTAGTTTGTGTGTGTGCGTTTTTCTGTGTTTGTGTACAGGTAGAGGCCTTGCGACGAGCTGATCACCCGCCCAAGGAGTCCTACCGAATGTGTAAGATCTAGAAGAAACCGAAGTGAACGGAGAAGTTCATGGAGGTAGGCCTGGGCCCACTGGTGCAGTAGTGCCAACGGGAAAAAAATGCATCGAAGTTAATAATACTACTTAATGAGGCATTATATTTAATGAGAAAGGGAAGATGCGGAGACGATTGGATTGTTGCCTGAGAAGGCATCATAGGCATACGTTTGCTGTTACGAGAACAGAATGCACCATTCGCCCACTTCCTGGAAATCGGCACGTTCAGAACAGCCGGTGTCGGCTTTGGAAAAGAGACTCTTGACAGTTCTTGAGCGCAATAAGTGAAAGGGAGGCGTGCTGGAGACCCACGCTGTGATTGTATAGATATGAGCGCTGTTAAAAACGTCGTTTGAAATCGAAGATCCAAAATCGCTAAACACATGTAGTTGAATGGGAGAAGCACATTTAGGAAACCTCGACTTCAAACTAAGCCAGGGACGGGGGTTTGGAGGAGGGAACTTTTCTGGAGGCTGAATTTATGAGGATGCCTCTGCTCCTGGAGAGTTCATTTCCGAGGAAAAACTGGTTTACGGATAGCTTTTGACTAATTCGGAAGCAGAACCTGCGATCCACAGAAATTATAAATCAACTTGTTAGCCTCTCTTGCATATTAAATTACTAAGTGATCGTTGTGCGACTTTCGACCATAATTTCAACTGGGAATCTGTAATAATGTGTTTAATATTATTAAATAAAATCAGCAGTGGTTGTGTATTAATGTAAAAATAATTGTACTCGTAATTCGTCGTACACGTTCTTTAATAAACCAGTCATCAAGTGCTAACCACTGCCGTTATTGTGAGTGTGTATGTGTGCGCTAGAGTGTTCCTCCTGCCTGCAGGAGCAAGGCCTGTTAAGAGCCGGTTATCCCCAGCCAACCCTTACCCAGAAGACACCACCTCTAACTGTAAGCACCATACTATCTGCTGACTGGCGCCCAATACCAGACGCTTAGCTTTCCAACTTCACAGAAACAAAGTGGAAGAGAGACAAACGGTGCGGACTTCGGCATCTACAGGAGAGTCAGCAGTCAGCGGCCCAGGCAAGATCTACTGCCGCTGGAGAGCAACAAGGTGCCCTCCATAGCCCGTGACCCCCCCCCCTCCACCCACAAAGGAAACGTTACGGCGCCCAATGCGCGGCGTCGAGAGTTGAGATCCGTAAAAGTTGGTAAGCCAGATAGAGAGCCGCATAGATGAATTTGAATCTGGTACCTCAATAAATCATTATGAAAATAATAAACAAAACAAACTCCGTGGTTTTTAGTCCTCAAGCGAACTATACCGATCGAGCGATCGCTGCTTGTCGGCGAAGTTAGTGCCAACTTTTGGGGATAGAGGATGTCGCGTGGTCAGAACAACGAATTCCCACGGCCGTTAATCTCGGTTTTCTAAACAGGAGCCGCTACTATCCTCACGAGGCTGAATGGACCCCGTTCCAGACCCACTACTCAGAACATCTGGTAGCGCCGGGAATCGAACCCGTAACCTTTGGATCTGTAGCCAGGAACTCTGACCGTTAAACCACAGAGACGGTCGCTATGAAAGTAATGACTCTTTATTTTCGCCTAGTAATGTCCTACCCATACCAAGTTTACTATAGCTGTGATCAGTCACATGGCATAACATTATACTGGCTCCTGAAAAGAGTAGAGAGTAGTTATTGAACTGCTGGAAGAATATTTGTGGTAGCTATTCACATGAGCATTACTAAGAAAAAAAATGAAGTTGTCCTTGAGCCTAAATAATTATGCACTGCACCATGAAGACGTTTTTGGGGAGTGGATGGATAGACCCACGTGAGCATCGCCAGACTTTGGAGAAAGTGACACTGATTGGCCGCGCCATCGCTCAAGCGTTTGGTCGCTGGCTTCTCACCGCGGCGTCCCGGGTTCGATCCAGGGTCTGGTCAAGTAGGATGTGTGGTGGACAAAATCGCGCTGGGGCGGGTTTTCTCAGAGTACTTCGGTTTCCCCTGTCAATCGTCATTCTACCAAATTCATCATCATAATCACCCGGGGCAGGCTATAATAGGCCAATCAGTGGCCGCCGTGCCGAGTGAACCCAGCTGAACTCTACCCCCCAGTAAGCGAAGTGACACTGATTAGAATAGCAGAGCAGCAACAGAAAATACAAGTCAGCCACATGCATATGTCTCAGAGCTGTGTATTGAGGACTTTAATCATCATCAGGGTCATCGTCATCTACAATGAGGGATTAGGTGGAAGAAACCTACTCTGATCTTCAGCTCCATCTCCTCCCTGGTTTACCAATGTCTCTTTCACCTTAGTATATTAAAATTTACCTTTCGGAAGACAGTCGTAGTTCATTCTGCCCTTCGTCTTGAAATAATAATTTTGGCGTTAAGGGTTGTTTGGGGGATTTTTGCCTGACACATCGTCTTGTCTGTGTGTTGGTAAAAATGAACTGGCATTACTTTATAACTGACTTCCAATGTTCTGGTTATCCACTTCAGCAGAATTGTTAAAAAAATATGTTAAATATGCGTACGAACTTTTTACCAACATTTGTGCTTAAAAAGTAAATACGTCGACCGTAAGACGTCTTTAGGACTGTTCTTCATTTACATCATAGATCCGAACCGCTACGACTAGACACGTTACATTCAGCAAAACAAAGGAAATGATAACAAAAGTTGTCAGTTATGAAGAACTGCAGGATGTGAACATAAGGAACTAGTGCAGAATTACATTCGGAGATTCACAAATGTACAAATGAAAATGCAATTACCACTGATTTCTACAACATCAGTGATTCCATTTACCGTATGTGACTTAATCGAACATCGAAACTGCATGTCATGACAAAATGTTGCTGTAAGTTACGATAATGTACAAACTAAACTGCAACAGCGCCGTAACGTTAATTGAATTTGGCGCAATGAGGAACACTGTGAACCCTACGGAAGGTACGGATGGAGACCTACTCATAACCTTACTCCACCACGGTCTGTGAGTGAATGCGACCTTTCTGAGCCGTGGTTGGCCAATCGATCACGTGAAGTGCGCATGCCTAAAGCTACGGACCAGAAGCTTGTGCTTGTCGGCCTTGTCGGCGCGTCAATACCGGCAGAGAGTGCGATCGTTGATGGTGTAGTTGTGTGTTGCCGCGTTAAACCGGTCCATGTCTTACTGAATTGGAAAATAAAGACTTGCATATCTCCTATAAAAATATTGAAGAGTTTCTGTGATCATAATTTTAAGGCAGCATAAACAATTGAAATACATACCCATTATCCGTTATTTTGCGCTACGAGTGCATATTGTTAATATCGAAGACAACTTGAGTGCGCTGTTCAACTGTTTTGGGCCATAGACGTGGTCAATAGAATTCGTATTCTGTGGCAGCATAAGCATAATTTGAGTTTTGTTTGTCGGGTTTAGGCAGAAGTGTTTTTCGCTGTCCGTGAAATCGAAATCGGAAGGACACGCAAGGTAAGCTTATGTTTAAAAGTTAGCTAATGCGCAGAAACCAATATTACAGATGCAGTAATATTGCTGTACTTTGGTAGCAATACACGTCATGCAAAGGTATTGGTGTGTTGTTACAGATAATAGGTTTGTTGTAGATCCTTAGGACCGGAAACATGCCCACAACGTAAACAGTTATGTGTCTTGCATGAGAATGTAGTACAATGTACAGTGCGGAGCTCACCAGGGCTCCTTGGAGGTTTCTGCAATTGTTATAGTAGGAAACTTTAGTCTTGGGAAGGATGAGCACTTTGTCCCTCCTTCGTTCCTATAAACTCCAAGCGTTTCTGTTAAGAAAGTAGCTATAAAATTAATAGTGACAGTTATTTAGTGTCCAGACTGATTATGTCATACAGATCATTGGTTAGATAATTGACCTTGGCATAATCAAATCTTTATATAACCCTACGCTCCTAAATCGCGAAAGGTTATCACAGCAAGGATTTAAAGACGTTTTTATAATTTTATGTAAACATTATACATAAGATTATACAACGGAATAAACTGGAATCCTAATACACATCTCTGATTGATTCAGGAAACGTAGATTGTTTCCAATTCTTTATTGGGATCCGTGGTAACACAACAGTTCTTGGACGGATCCCAATGAAAAATAGATTGTTTGCTTGCAGGTTAATGACATTCTAAGCGTAGCGTGAATGGACTATTCCCGATGGTTAGATAAGATACAAACCACATGACTTTCTAGTGTGTTCGTAAGGCGACAGGATATCGTGATGCTATTATTCATGAATAAAAAGTAACGTAGAGAAAGCCGGTGGAAGTTTCTTGAACATGACTATTTTCAGTGATCCATCCAATCTTTCGTAAAAAGGACGGTACGGAATACACAAGAAGCTTGAATCACCGAAGGAAAAAAAAGAAACTATTGAAGTACTGAATTTTTTCAAACTGTGCGAACAAAGACAGATCCCGAAATTGCATTTACACCGTAAGTATCAATATAATTTTCTTACGTTTGTATTATTCGAGGAAACAGATGGCGCCTGCAGTTCAGAATCGTCTATCAAGTTCTTTAAACTGTGGGTCGCGACCAGTCAATCTGTCCCGGGAATAATTCACTGGGTAGCGGATTATGAGTTAACGTAATGTAAACTCAGTTGCTCGAAATTAATATTAAAATTTTGATAGGTCATTATATGTATTCTCATTTTATATTTTAATTGAGAAAATAAAAAGTCTTTGATCTTGTCAGAGTTCCTGACTACAGATCTAGAGGTTCGATTCCCTGCGCTACCAGATTTTCTGAGAAGTAGTGGGTCTGGAAATGGGTCCACTCAGCCTCGTGAAGATAATTGAGGCGTTACTGAATTGAAAAGCTGTGGCTCCAGTCTATAAAACCGAAATTAATGGCCGTCGGGATTCGTTGCCCTGACCACGCGACGCACCCTATCCGCTAAAGTTGGCTTTAACTTCGCCGGCAAGCGGCGGTCGCTCGGTCGGAATGGTTCGCTTGAGGACTAAAGCCACGGGGTTTATTTTTTTTTTTGTATTAAAATACTGATAGATTTTAAGTTATGCGTAATTATGTATTGAAGCATCATGTTGCTATGTCTTGAAACCAACAGTTAAGATATGCTTGAAAGTTGGATCCCAGGTCTGGTCAAGTGGGATTTGTGGTGGACAAAGTGGCGCTGTGGCAGGTTTTCTCCGAGTGCTTCGGTTTCCCCCGCCAATCTTCATTCCACCAATTGCTCCACAATCACCCTCCCCTATCATCTGGGGATGGTACAATAGGCCAGAAGTGGCCGTAGTACAAGGGACTTAGTCCCACCCCACTAGCAATAAAAAAATATGCTTCCGTTCCAGATAATAGAAAGTGATATTATTGGAAAATAACCAATCATAAACTTACTTTCTGATGATGTTTACAACAATGTGCCGTATGCATTCATGAACATGTCTCGACCGTGACTAACCGCCATTTCGTAATAGCAAATTAAGTCAAGGCATAATCTGCTGCAGAAGCCTGCATTGACAGATTTCCTGTATATATCGTGTTTAAATGTTATTCATTGCAGTAAAGTGACAAAGCGTCTACGGTACTATTTAAGTATGAATACCCTACTGGACGCTGTGTGAATGCGGGTATGCGCCTGCGAAATGTGGCACCTACTCAGAAAGAAAGAAAGAAAGAAAGAAAGAAAGAAAGAAACCCTTCATCCCGTCGAAGAGGAAACCTCATTTCCAAACATACAACCTGTCTTGGAAGGAACATAAATTAGGTCATGGGTCCCGACGGGGTCTGAAACCAAGAACGACTGTGCTGGCGAGGGCCAGCAGTAATTTACTGTACTGGACTCTGAAGCTGAATGAAGATCATTTCGTTTGAAATGTGTAGTTCCATTGGAATATAAATTTCAAACATAAGTTTGGCATTTGTTTTCGAAGATTATCACATTATTATTGTGTGTGATGGAAGCATATCCAAACTGCTAAGTCGAACCCAGCGTATTTGACTATTCGTTTTTAGTTGTAGATAAGTTTATAACATGTTTCTGTTAGTTGTCTGTGAATGCATGGAATATGATACTAGTTGCAGTTGAACAATATAGTGACTGTGACTTCGCTGTTAATCACATTCCAAGAATATAAACATGAACATCTGGTAATTTAATGAAGGGTATTTGAAATATTATTTCATCCAGTGTGCAGATAACTAAAATAGCAAACGAAAGTTTGTTCTTTGTAATTAAGTTCTTGAAGATGAAAACTTAATTCCGTCAGAAATAAAAAGACGCTTAGAGACAAAGAATGCTTAACTTACTGATAGAATTTAACAGATTTTCAAGAAGGAAACGTGATTTAAAGTCCTTCGTGCAATTCCTTAGTCATCATACTTGCTTACTCGCTCACTCTCTCACTCGTGGAGCTGAGCCCTTCTTGAGTAGCCGCCGATTCTGCAACTACTCAACAATTTCCCAACATTTTATGGAACCCGAAGGTTCATTACCGTGTTCACAAGAGCCGCTGTTCCGCTGGTCCCTATCCTGAGCCAGATCAATCCAATCCATACCATCCCATCCTACGTCTCTTAAGATCCATTTTAACATTATCCACACACCTATGCTTTGGTCTTCCCAGTGGTCTCTTTCCTTCTGGCTTTCCCACCAATATCCTACATGCATTCCTCTTCTCCCCCATTTGTTATACATGCCATGCCCACCTCATCCTCCTTGACTTGATCATTCCAATTATACTTGGAGAAGAGTACAAGTTATGAAGCTCCTCATTATGCAGCCTTATTTAAAATACTGCCGTTAATCATAAATCCTTGCTGCCTTCGTATCTAGTTGCATATTGCGTGCCGAAAGAGAACAGTTACCCATACAGTTTTTTTTTTTAATTCGCTTAGTGGAGGGTGGAGTCCAACTGGGTCCACTCGGCACGGCGGCCAATGATTGGCCTATTGTAGGCTGCCCCGGGTGATTATGATGATGGAGAATTTGGTGGAATGAAGATTGGCAGTGGAAACCGAAGTACTCGGAGAAAACCCGCCCCAACGCCAATTTGTCCACCACAAATCCCATTTAACCAGACCCGGGATTGAACCCGGGCCGCCGCGGTGGGAAGCCAGCGACTAACCTCTTGTGCTATGGCGCGGCCCACCCATACAGTTGCTGAGAAGAATGCTCTTCTGGCCTGAGTGGATATAGTCCGTATTTTTTTTTAGTGAGATATTTGATGAAAATTCATAACCTTTTCTGGTAGTGGTAACACAACATCCCCGAAGAATTTGTACTATTACAGAACGGAATCAATCGCCGTTACTCGGTTAGGCATATAGTCCCAATTTCACGAGAGCGGTGTATCTCATATTGAACAACATTTTCTGCGAGATAAGTACGGCAGAATGATCTCATGGACGACTTTCTGTGTTACTTAAATTAGCCATATTCACAACATTGGATGAATGGCGTCAGAAGAAAGTAATCTGAACAGGAGTAATCGAAAAGAAATTACAAATGTGACAACAAATTATAGTGGAACTGTTAAAATATGTAGTGGGAGGCAGGCAATCATTTTGATGTTTGGAATCGGTTTATCCATTATGGAACTTGGTTTTCAAAGTGTACAATATATGCCTCCAATCTTACGGGAAACATTTAAGAAAAAACTCCGTGCCTCGAGTCCGCAAGTGAACTATACCGACTGAGCGACCGCCGCTTCTCGGAAAAATTAGTGCCAACTTTAACGGATAGAGGGTGTCACATGATAAGCGCAATGAATCCCCACGGTCGTTAATTTTGGTTATCTAGACCGGAGCCTCTACTTTCCATCAAGTAGCTCCTTAGCGTAGTTGGTTCAGGTACTATGCTACAAGCCAGAAGGTCGCGGGATCAAATCCCAATGAGGTCATTGGATTCTTTTTCAATTTGCCTAATCCTTCCAGCCACACTATGACCCTGGGGGTTGACTCAGTCTCTAACAGAAATGAGTACGAGGAATATTCTTGGAATTTTCTTGGGGATAAAGGGCGGCCGGCGCATAAGGCTGAGAACCTTACCGCCATCTATGAGCCGATTGTCTAGAAAATGTGGCAACATCAACACCTTACAACCCTATGGGCTTTCATGGCCTGTTACAGGGATAGCTTTACTTGCTTTTACTTATCTCCTCAATTATCCTCACGAGGCTCAGTGGACTCCGTTCCAGACCCTCTACTTCTCAGAAAATCTTGTACCGCCGGTAACCGAACCCGGGACCTCTGGATCTGTAGGCAGGAACTCTCACCACTAGACCACAGAGGCAATATTTAAAGAAGCAGTTAAAAATGTTAATTTCATGAAAAGAAGCTTACCGAATGTCCGACTTATTTGAAAAATTTTGTACAGAGATTGGAGCCAATCACGCTTTTAGTTTGCCATATTGCAGTTGGTTCCTTACTTCTTTTGGCTTATTTTGGACTTCACCCATCGTCCGGTATATAAAAAAGGACAAAA